AAGCCACTGAAACCTCTCGGACCGAGCGGCCAGCGCAGTGGCAGCGAAGGAAGCATCGGGAAGAAGAGAAGAAATTGTCGTTCAAGTGTACCAGGAAACCAGCTTCCTAGAGTCAAACTACCAGGAAAAGGAAAAAACCACAGCCTAAGGAGACTGGCACGGCTTCGGGAAGGAGGGCCGCGAGCAAAAGGATGTCAGGCAAGGACGAACAAGGTCAACTTTCTCTCGCGTGGAGGAGGAGGAGCTTGGTCGGCTCGAGACCGAGAAAGGGAAAGGCCAGACACGCGAACGGGAGAGGGAAGGGAGGCAGAGCTCGGGTGCGTGAGTTTAGGGATTTTATATTAAATTATATGCGATTTATTCACGCGCGGCGTCGTAACAAAATGGGTGTCGTCCCTGGGCAAAATCGACGCTCCGGACGTGTCAGTGCAGTCCGTTTTGTCATTCGAGGTCGCTCGGATGACGTCGTCGACAATCAAGTAAAAAAAACACGTCAAAATTTAAATTTGACAAAATTTCGACTCGCTATCAATCGTTTCAAAAGGTTTATTCGAGCCTTCGACAGGTAACAGAGCGATTAGACGTGTCGACTCTCCGAATTGCGAATTTTGTGCGCGCGGGGGTGCGAATTGTGCAGAAGGGTACCCTAAGGCTTAAAAGTAAAAGGTCCTATAGGAATCCATTTGAGTTTCCTCATGTTGGTTTCATCATTCTAAGTGCTAGAAGTCGATACCACACACGCGAGACCACAAAAGCGGACAGAAGTAGGTCGAATTTCTAAAATGAGGCGGGTCCCATTTCTTAGGTTCTAAGATAGTCAAAGGGAGATCCCTAAGGCTAGATAAACCCTAAGAGGAAGACTAGACCTTACCAAAAATGAGATCAACACATGCATCCTTTATTACTAGCTTCCAATTAAATAGGGCCAATTGTTTAACTAGTTTGCCATCAAGATTAATGTACATGAGTTTTTGTTTAGATGAAAGTTGAATAATACACTGTCAAATGTAAGACAATGAGATTGCCCGTGGCCAATAGGATGCCAAGTTTACTAGCCATTAGCTACTTCAGAAATTTCTTTTGGATTCCAAAAACAAAGGATAAAGTTAACAAACTTGATCTAGAGGTAAATTTCGGAGATGTCCCCTTGTTAAAGTTGGAAATCAATAGACAATTGCTTGAATGAGAGGACTTATGATGAACTAGAGGACTCCGAATTACATAAACTAATAATTTTCATAATACGTAACTCTAATAAGGAAGAATATTTCATTGAGAATAAATATTTTGAATGTACATTTAATCTCTGAGATATGACAAGTAGGTGCAAGGAGAGAACTGTCAAATGATTGTTTTTTCATAAACAACCTACTAAAGCAAGATCCCATTCTTAAGTTTGGCTATAGTATGCTCGTGTTCGGCTCGTGGGCTCGCTCGTGTTCGGCTCGTTTATAGTTCGAGCTCAAAAAGTGTGTTCGTGTTCAACTCGTTTACTTAGCGAGCCGAACACGAGCCGTTCACGAACAAAGAGTCGTTTTGACAACCCTAATCACGTAGTCATAAGATGTTAATGATTGGGGCAAGATTTAAAAATCATTTGAGTCTAAATTAATAATTTTTATTATATTTTCTTCATTAATACTTTTAATTGATTTTAAATTTTTTTAGCCTTATGGTCAATCAAATTTTTTAAAAATACTACTCATCAAAGATATGTATATATATATAATTGATTAGTAGTATTTCGAGCCAAAACGAGCCGAACACGAACGAACAAATATTTGTTCGTGTTTGGCTCGTTAACTTAGCGAACGAGCCGAACACGAGCTATTCGCGAACAACGAGCGTTTTTTATTTCTGTTTGTTAAAACTCTCACTAAAGTATAATATGAATGATTTTCTTTTTTTCCTCAAACCTTCCATAAAACATAGAGTTTGCATACTTTTTTCTTTTTTTCTCTTTCCTTTCAAATCCTTATTATTGGCTTTTTTTCTTTCTTGAATACATTATATTGTGAACAAGCATGCTTGTTTTGAAAAATCATAGTTTATTTTTCTCCATTGAAGTTTCACATGTTGCAGCTAGGCTTTTGTTTACTTGTATTGCATATTTTTTCTTTTTAATATAATTGCCTTCTCATTTTCTTGTTTATACCTGTTTTACATTTTTACCTGATGTTTTTGGCATTGGAAAAGCTGGATGTTTCATTAAACTTGTTACAATTTGTCATAAGGAATGTTTTAATTTATACCATCAAAGGCACCTCTTAGATAATATAGAATTCTTACATCCTCCTTTTTCCTTATCGAAAATTGTCATTGTTTCTGCATGACTTGATTAATAATATTTATTCTAGAAAAAGCTATCATTGTTGAATGCTTATACATTGTAGGAAGACTTTGCTAACTTCTGGTCTGAATGTCCGTGGGATGAAGATTTAAAGTATGCAAAAGCTGTTTGTGATCAGGTCAGAAGCTTTTCTTCTAATTGTTTGTCATGAAAGTATATAGAGACAGCTACTTTAGGCTGATGCGTGGTGAACTTGTAATCCTATAAATGATAGCAGTGGTGTTTTGGGGACAACTTTATTGATATTTTTAGGAGCTAGTGCTCTAATATTGGAAATCAGATGCCAATCTTGTTACGTCAATTTTGCAGAGGCTTTAAATGCAATCTTTAGCAATGCTGAAGATGACTTGATATTATTCACTCATGATAAATGATGTAGAAACTGTCAGCATAAATTATTATTTCTTCAGTAATACATATACTGGCGTAAAAACTTGACTATGGTGCGGGACAATGAATTTTTAATGACTAATGTATTGAGCTTTGTATGTGAGAGAGGAGGATGTTGAGAGGGAGGGGGAAGTTGGAGTTGAGTGAGGCTATTGCTCTTTAGTATATACAGGTAAAACTTTCATACTATACATAATTGCAAGAGGATTTATCACAAACCAAGGGGGAGCAGCACCCCAATCCTCCTTGGTTCTTTTATTGGAAGACGTATACTGAAGTTACATTAGCAGCTATTTTTGCATGTAGAGGTGCATTCTAAGAGTTGCTCATTTTTCTTATGAAGTTGAAGATACTAAAGTCAGATTTGATGCTATTTTTACAGGTAGATGTGCCTTTAGAAGTTGTTCATTTATCAGATGAATATTGGAGGAATGTGGTAAGAATTTAGCAATTGTACTCGGTCTTTATCATAGAATTTTGTGAAGATTTTAGGATCTGAAATGTATTACTTATTTTCCCTGCTAAATTATGCTTTTTAATACCTACGTATTATCTAATTAGCTCTTTCATGGCGAACAGGTATCTCACATCATTGAGGAATATCATGCTGGCCGTACTCCAAATCCTGATGTCCTTTGCAATACGAGAATCAAGTTTGGTATTACCTTTAGATGAATGGATTTGTCATACATGAACATCAAACAAATTACTTGCTTACTGTTTTTCTGCAATTTTCTACTTTGGTTCAGGTGCATTTTTAGAAGCTATTGAAAAGATGGGGTTTGATTACATTGCCTCTGGTCATTATGCTTATGTGATTCACGCATCTTGTAGTTTGAACGGTGGATCTTCTGTTTTGGCATTGTCGAAGGATGTGGTATTTATGGAGTAAATCACTTATTTTATATTTATTCCCTTTTTTTGTCGTGATACTATTTTTTTTTTTTTTGAAGTTTTGCATAATTTATAATGCTTTTTTATCTGTTGTGGTAATATCAATTATAAATTAGTTTTTTTAAAACTTGTTTGCTGAACCATTATGTGGAAAGGCTCCTTTTTCTTTTCAGACTGATAATGGAATTACTAGATCCACTCAGGAATTGTTTGTGTACCAAGAACCTTATTTATATGCTTTCATAATGAGTCACATATAAAATAAACAGTGAGGTTCAATTTTCAATGGCATACCGGGCATAAACATGGATAGGTTAATGTGATGATGGAAAGAGTATGATATTGTTTCTTACTCTTATTACTTTTATTTCCTACAATTGGTGATATATTTTTTCTCATTTATGGATTATGCATATGTCTTCCCCCTATGTTCTCATTTTATATTAAGCATCCTTAACTCGTGTTTATGAAATTGTTTTTGCGGAAGCTTATTATTTTGAAAAATAAAATCGTTCAGAACATTCTTTTCTGGTGATTGACTGTGGTCAGAAAAGTGCTTGTTGAAATGTTCTTTTTGATTTTTGCAATGATTCTCTTTTTCTTCTTTTTGAGAAAATGAAATGTAGACAAATTGTAGTTGCTATATTTTACTTTCTATTGTTGACTTTTGATTATATAACTACAGAGAGCTAGCATACATTATGTACAGAGGTGGTTGCATTGCTTCACATAGCATTATTATTTGCATGCACATTTAATTTGTACTAATATTTTGTGACACAATGACACCATCAACATCAAGCTATTTTACTGTATATATGTTACTATTTTGCGATACGTCATCATCATCATAATAATCATGGATTTTGTTTATTATCAACCTCTTCTCAACTGTTAGGGATTGGCTTCACGAACCATCTATCTCGATTAGTTTTGGTTGACTTAAGTTTTTTCTTCCTTTTTAATCATTTCATGCTGGCCTTATTGGTTCATCTCTTACATGTAGTTGTTTATGTCAAACAATCTAAGTCAAATTTTACCAACATTTCTTCAATAAGTTTTATTTTAACTATCCCTTAACTATTTGATACGGAAACTAGTTGGGATGCGACGAACACAAAAATAAACTTTTATTTATATAAAAATAGTGTTACAACACGACTCAAACAAATGGGAATTACAATAATAGACAAATCTCTGCTTGGGGGCTGTAGGAAGAGATTCAAATGCAGTGGCGGTGTTTGCGGGGTTAGTGGCTGTATGGGTAAGTAGAGACTGTGTTTGGTTGGTTGTAGGTAGGTGGGACGGTGAGGTTGTGGAGGAAGTAGGGGTGTCAGTAGAGTGGTGGAGGAATATGGGGGTGGTTGGCAGCTAGGAGAGAGGTAGGAAAATTTGTCGGGGAGAAGAATGGAAGGTGATTGGAAGTTTACAACACCATCTTAGAGCAGGATACAACGGAAGCACCACTTGTCGTCAGATACAACACTAACAAGAGGGAAGAGACTCCGTACAGGAGATCAAAAGACAACTCGACTAGAACCAACTCTCTACACGCAAAGAACGACAATGTTAGACTCCCGATGGACAAATGAAACTTCTACACTAAGAAAGAGGGTGGAAAGACAAGAAGAATCCATAAAACCCCTTCCCAAACGAAGAGAGGTGCGACAGACTCACAAAGCATCTCCTTGGATAGTGAGAGTTCGCGATCCCGCCGAACTTCCTTCGATCAAGAGGATTCGCGATTTGCCTCCCACTAACGCGCGGGATCGTGAATCGTCCGACTTTCTCTCCCGTGAATCATCGCGGGGATTCTGGCCTCATGAGATTGAAGCGCCCTGCTTTGGGGCCCATTCAGCGCCCGCACTCGGGCGCTGATTTAGAGCCTGCGTCAGTCTCTCGGGGTTGGGGAAACTTCGACCTCTTGTCGAAGCTCCAAACTCTTCAAAGTATGGCGTCAATTCGACAATGTTGAACGTGGCTGAAATGTTGTAGTTTCCAGGCAGGTTGATTTTATAAGCGTTGTTGTCCAACTTTTGAAGTACTCTGAAAGGTACATCTGTTCTCGGCTTAAGCTTTCCAAATGATCCTACAGGAAATCTTTTCTTTTTTGACCGAACCCATTCGAGGTCGCATTTCTGAAATGTTACTTTCTTCCTGAATTTATTTGCCTATGTCTGATATTTACGATTCTGATTAACAATCTTCTTGCTAACTTCTTCATGGAGCATTTGAATCTCATGAGTCATGAACTCGTTCTGTGACATCCTTGCTGGTTTTCGAAGATGGTAGGAGTGACACCAATTCTACTGACGTGAGCGGATTGTGTCAATACATGATCTCGAAGGGAGTTCATCCCATAATTTGGTTGATGGATCGATTATAGGCGAACTTAGCTTCGGCTAGGATAAGATTCCACTATCTTTTGTTTTTTTGCCACGAAGCATCTCAAAAGATTGCCGAGACTCTGGTTTACTACCTCTGTCTGTCTGTTTGTCTGCGGATTAGCTGCCGAGTTGAATTGGAGTTTGGTACCAAGCTTTCCCCATAGTGTCCTCCAAAATTGGCTCAAGAATTTGATGTCTTTATTAGAGGTTATGGTCTTAGGAATTCCGTGCAACTTTACAATCTCACTGAAGTATAGACCGAAGATGTGAGGCGACTAGCGTCCGGTGGCAGGTTATAAAATGAGCCCTCTTGGAGAATTTATCTACTACAATCATTGCGAAGTCTTTGTTCCTTTGTGTCCTTGGAAGTCCTATCTTGAAATTCATGCTGACGTCCACTCCACCCATGGTGTCTCTGGTATTGAAAGTGGTGTGTATAATCCAGCGTTTTGAGCTCTTGTCTTTGTCAGATGACATTCTGCATTGTCTGACATTTCGTTTTACATCACTTGTCAGATTTGGCAAAAAAAAAAAAAAATTTTCTCTTACACGGACGAGGGTCTTGTCCCTGCCGAAATGACTTGCTAGTCCAACACTGCGGCCTTCTTGGATAATGACCTCCTTTAGTGAACACCGGGGAATGCACAACCGACTCTGGTGGAAAATGTTTCCATTTGTGGGGTAATGTTGCTATGCTGGCTTCTCTTTATATTGCTCCCATATGTTTTTAAAATTTATGTCGATTTCATGTAGATCCCTTATAACCTTGAAGCCTACAACTCGAGCCTGCAGGGATGCTTTCAATAGGTGTCGACGACTCAGTGCATCTGCCATGCAATTATGGCTTCCCACCTTGTGTTTTAGCACAAACTGGAATGGGGTTAGGAATTCCACCCATGTGGCATGTCATCCCTTTTGTTTGCTCTGGTTGTTGAGGTATTTTAGGGTTTTGTGATCTGTAAATAGTTAAACTCGTTTGTCAACAAGTAATGACTCCAGTGTTCCATATGAGGAGATGAAATACCAGTGTGAAACTCTTGTTATTGAAACACAACAGAAGATCTTAGTTCTCAAAAACTTAAAAAATCAAAGGGAAGACTTGTAAGATAATAAGAATCACCTATCAACCAAACTTTTGCAAACTCTCAACCTGACTGATGCCCAACTTGTTATAGATGAGAAACATATGAGATATTTATTTGTTCGGAATTTGGCTCAGGAAAACCTTTGTGGCAATGTACCTCTAGCTTAGATAATGCCAAACCAGAATGGATTGATAGGGAGGAATGCTCGCAAGTGGGATCCAAGAACGGCCGAGGAGAACCAGAAGCCCTGACGAATGAGGTCGAAGCTCCGCAACCCTAGGAGACTAATGTTGGGCTTTGGGGAGGACCCTCCCTTTCCTTTTCTTCCTCCCCTTTCCCTCCTTTATTTTTCCTTTTTCCTCATAATATTTCTTTCCCTTTCCTTTCTCTCCCTCTCACTCTTTCATTCCTAGTACTTTCCTTATATAAGTCCTTACCAATTCTAAATTATGTTTTATTTTTCTCATCGTTGCCTAATCTGAAGTTCTATTAGCACTTTCCTATTATAAGTCCTTACCAATTCTGAATTCTGATTTATTTTACTCATCCTCACATAATCTGAAATTCTATTAGTTATATTCATCCTTGCCTAATCTGAATTTTTATTATTTCCATTCTTCTTTCTTATTTTAAATATTGCATAAAATAAGTCTTAGCCCTCGTTATAAATAGGGGGTGTTATGCTTAGAGTTTAGGGAGTTTTTGCTGTGTGTTGATTTTAGATTCCTGTGTGGGTTCTTTTCCCTTTTGTAGGGTCTTACCCGAGGAGGTGGTAGTGCACCGGTTGTATCCTATTCCGAGATTGTGATTGTATCTCCCGGTTTACTTTCTCCTAGCCCTTCCATTTCTCGCACCTTAGCCGCTGACCACTTTGATCCTTCCCCAACCGCCGCCAACCTGCTGTCCAGCCCTTCCAAGTCTGCTGTCCAGCCCTTCCAAGTCCAAGTCTGCTTTCCAGCCCCACAACCCTCTATTATGCTGCCAAATCTACCGCCCAACACTCCATCCTTGCTCCCCCGCCCTGAGACAACAAAACACTGCTGCTCCTGCCATTTTTGTCCCAATTCTTGTCGTCGCTTCACTGGACAGCCAACCCTCTAGCTGTTTTTGTAGTTTCTTACTCCACTTTTGCTGCCGCCACCCCACTAGCCATCTAAATCCACTTAACTGACCCCACCACTCTACGATTACACCTTAGAGATGTTGCTTGTGTCATTTATGTCGGTGTTATTATTTTCTATTGTGTTGTGTTGTAAACCTTTTTCCTTACTAATAAAAGCGTGCTTTTATGTTTTTATTGTTTTCCCTACTAGTTCCGGTATCTATATTTCTCGCTGTCTACAATTGTTTTACAACACATCCAATTTATCATTCTCGTTCAGCCAAGTTTAACTTGGGTTAAATAACTTTATTGCTTCCTAACACTTAATTCCATATGTCATTCGCAATTTAATTATAGTTTTATTAATGCAACTTCGAGTTTTTGTGTTCGTATTGTGTGGTACTTCTAAGGCACATCTTCATCCATCTTACTGCACTTCTAAGGCACATCTTCATCCATCTTATTGGCTCATCTTTAACCTGAAAAATTGCACCGTTTTTTATATCACAATTTTTTTTATAATGCTTTTGAGACAGATAAATCTATCACCTCTTGATATCAGTTGATCATTCGACAACATTGATTTATAATTATTAATTTCACAACTATAATTGTATCTCATTTTATCACTGTTTGTTCTATTAAATCTAAAGACTTGCATCTTTTAGAATTTTTCCAAATTTCAAACTCATGTATTTAGATCATTTCATCTAAAAATAACACACAATATAAGACGGTGTCCTACTTCAAACATCTTTTGTAACTGATTCAAAGGAGACATAGATAGTGCTAATCTCGATGAAATACTACTAAGGTTTAAAAGATCATTGATTATGCCTCAACTACTAATGTTGAGAGCAAGTTATTGTTGCATCATATGTATTTTTAGTAACCCCAATATTTCTTAGGTACAAAACTCTTTTTTAGCTGATAACAATCTTATCAATTATCTTGGCAATTGATCATATACTTTTAATGATTAATAAATACCTTATAAAATCCTTTGCTGTTCTTTACACTTGCATGTTAATTTTTGTAATGCAAAAATTGGTTCTATTGTTGATCTTTATGGCATAAAATTAATAATTTTATGACGAACATATTTCTAAAGCTTATATGCAATTACTCTCTCTAATAACTCTATCACAGATAAATTTGATATCCCTATAATTATAAATATTAGACTTGTCTTTTTTTCCTTAATGAATGAATACCACCAAATGTTTTTTCTTCAATTATTAAACTTCCTTTTAATTTTTAAAGATTTCATTGAGTAGATTTGCTTTCAAATTAGTATAATATCTTTCATAATTCTCCAAATTTTAATGAAGGCCTTATATAGACCACGTCAATATCTTTATGCATATTCTTTAAAGTTAATTCAACTTAATCGTTTTTTTAAACTATCTATAGTATACTTCTAAGTTCTGCCATATAATCGTAAACTAATTTTCCCTTTTGATTATTTTTAATACTTTTAATGTATGTCTACAATTGTTACTCTTTGTATTGTAAGCCAAAATATCTCCTAAAATTTCCTTAAATTTTTTTTTCAAAAGGAGTTTATGTTTTTCTTCAAAGTAAAGAGAAGTTTATAGTGATTTAATGGCTATTTTTTTTTTAATAAGTGCTCTTCTTTCTAATATATTTGCTCACTATTGCAATATTAGACGCAATTAAAAAATATTGTCTAATCTCTTTCATTACATTTCTATATTCTATTACGTACCTACAATGAATCTTTTGTAAACCACACTGCTAGAACACACATCTAAGTCACCTCCAATATTTTTATATTTTTTATCTCTATCCATTTATCCCAACCAGTCTTGTTCATAATATGCTGTAAGACTTTTCTATGCTCAAGTTCTACATTAAAACAGCTTGATTATACAGTGTAACATTACTTAACATATACAAACTCCTTATACATGCTTTTTACAAGATTAATTAAGGTTAATTTGTTAGCTTTTTGGATTAACTTTTTGTTATTTCCGGGTTTTTCTTTCATATTAAATGGGAGTCATTACTACAATTCTTCTTTAGAGATGATGTGAAGTTTATTTTTCAGTTTCATATGTTGTTTTGTTTTCTGTGTTTACTCATATCAGCCACTGGACTAGCATTATAAAGTTATTGATTATCTTTTCTTTCATTTTTTGCAGCTCAAGGATCAAACCTATTTTTTATCACATCTGTCCCAATTTCAGCTAAGGCGCCTTCTGTTTCCCCTTGGCTGTCTATCAAAGGTCAGATGTGTGTGTGTATATATATATATATATATATATATATATATTATATACATTCTAATGGTTCTTTAAGTGAGAGTGTGTCATTTCCTTTTTGGTTTCCAAAATATTTGCAGGGTGAAGTACGTTATCTGGCCACCCAAATGGGTCTTCCAAACAATGAGAGGAAAGATTCTCAAGGGATATGTTTCCTTGGAAAGGTTGGCTATTATTTATTGGGGAAGCATCACTAGTTTATAATTTATGTATTCTCCTTTTGGTAATCATCATTATTATCATTAGCCTTATCCCAAGCATTGTTGGTCAGCATTCTGACACATCATTTTTCATTAGTTTTTGTATTAGATCTTGCATTCAAATTTATTTTTTATATTTAGATTTTGACTCTTTTTAATTTTTAGGTTCAGGTGCATGAATAAATTATGATCCTAACTCGATACATATTTTAGTGAGTTATGGTTTTAAGTTTAACTTAGTTCTAAATGTTAAATCCGACTTCCTTCCATGTCATGCATTAAATAACAAACATGAATTATAGTTTCTTTAGTAGGATCAAATTTAATTGTATATAATGATAGTGCTATTTTATGTTTAACATGCTTTTAGTGAGATTTAGAGGATTTTTCCTTAGAAGAACTAAGCAAAGGTGTTGTATTCCTAATATAGGAAGATGATTGAAGCACCTAACTTGCAGTGCCTGATGAGGAGAGGCATAAAATATGCTCTTATCTCCCGAGTATTGCGCATTTCATGGCAGTAGCTTCGTTGAGGGGACCGGTGACCGATAGAATGACTTTGGAGATCAAAGAGCTTCCACCCCGCTTCAAGAGATGGACTTAGATTTGCTTTTGAAGACGGGCTCGAGTTTTTGGTTAGAATCAGCACCATTTCAAGTCTCTTCTTTTAATTTGGAATTTGTTGCTCTTCTTGAATTGGAAGAGGATAAGGCCTTCTTCCAACTTAGTGTCTCGTCCAACGTGAAGAATGTCAATTGGCGATGGAATTTATGCATTGGCATTGTTATGGATGCCAAGGTTCTTTTTTATTTTTCTTACCTCTTCTGCTTTCCTTGTTGCCTAGTTGGGTTGTGCAGTAGGCTTCACAATTAGTGAAAAATTTAGATGATTGTGCAAGGAAGGATTTCTTTGGCACAAGTGCTTGGCATTTCATTCATTCTGACTTCACAGGCTGCTAAGGTTACTCATCATTAAATATTTGGTGTTGTTATTCATTGTTGATATATACCTTGATCGAGTGTATGTATGCGTGGGGAGGAGGGCTTATGATTATGCTCTGAGAGAGGTGTAGAAGTCAATAATAGGGAACTTCACCTTTGTGCAGAGCTTCTTTTCTGTGAGGGATATGACAGAAGTTCTAGTAGTCTTTTGACCTTGCTTGTAGATGCCTTGAAGCGTCACTTTATTTTTTTATTAAGGCTCAGAGAATTCAGTTGTCCATTTCCTTACAATAAAATCATTATCAGAGGTGTGATGAAGGCTTATCCGGCCTAAAAAACTTCTTTACAGAATAGGTTTCATATTGCTCCAAAAATTGGAGAGATTTTTAATGAGAATCTCTCATAGGACGTCCTCTTTAGGAGCTCTTTATATATACTTTGGTTATGCTTGACGAAGAACAGAAGGAAGATGAGGCGTGATAACAGGTAGAGGAAGAAGTAGGAAGGAAAAACATAACTTGTATTAGGTGAGGAATAAGACTTACAGATTTTTCCATCATCCTGCATTACAGAACTTACCTCTTCTCTATATATCAAGAAGGAGAATATTCCAGAATATATGGTACCAGTGGGTAGTTATGATTCTGCGATTATGGAGGCGTGTGGGAGCAGGAGTCCAGTTGCATGACAGAAAGTGGTTACAGCTATTATCCCCCTGTAAGCTGACGGGCCTTGTAAAGGACTTGAAACTTGGATTTGAGAAGATTGAAGCGCTGTATGACCAGAGGTTTAGTAAAGATGTCCCCCGGCTGATCCTGAGTATGGATGTAGTGGAGGAGAAGGTGACCGACACGTATGTTTTCCTGGATAAAATGATAGTCTATTTCAATATGCTTCGTACGTGTGTGTAAAATCGGATTATTTATGATAGCCATTGCAGATACATTGTCACAAAAGAGAGTAATGGGAGTTTGTTGTGTCACTCCAAACTCAGCTAGAAGTCGACGAAGCCAAAGAAGATCTGCTACTGCTGCAGCCAAAGCCCGGTATTCCACTTCCGCAAATGAGCAGACAATTGTGGTTTGCTTCTTAGCATCTCACGAGATGGGAGAATTATGGAGGAAGGTGCAAAAGCTTATAATTGATTTTCTATATGTCGAATTTCCAGCCCCGTCCGCGATTTTCCATATGTCGAATCTCCAGCCCCGTCCGCATCGCAATAGGTTAGAAATTCAAGTGGAGCATGAGTGATGGTAAGACCGGAGTGTTGTGTACCTTTGAGGTAACGTAGTAGACGTTTTAATAATTGATTGTGATAGGTCGAGGGTTGATGCATATGTTGGCACAAAAAGGTTGACGGTGAATGCGATATATGGTCTCATGATTCTCAGATATTGGAGTGCGCCTGTAATTTTCCAATATTCAGTAGGATTATCAAATAGTTCATTTGAGTGGGAGTGTCATACCGCTTTGTTGGAATTGGAGTCACACATGGTTTACAATCAAGCATGGCGGTTTCTTGAAGTATGTGCTGGAGATACTGAGTTTGGTGAAGGTACATATCTGTTTCGGTGCGAACCAATTTGGAAACTTGACCAAGGTTCTTGATCTGAAAGGCGACGACTAATTACTGTGTAAGATCTTCAATAGCAGCTATATGAGTACCTGTTATAAGCATATCATCCACGTAGATCAAGACAAAGAGGTGTTGCTGTGATGTGTGCGAGATTAGTAGGGTTGGGTCGGATTTACTAATCTGGAAGCTCCGGTCGAGATACAACGTGGATATGGTGGTAAACCCTTGTTGCAGGGACCTCTTAGGTCCATATAGTGCTTTCTTGAGTTAACATACATTATTGGGAAGTTGAGGATCTTTGAAGCCAATGGGCTGTTGCATATAAATTATTTCATCAAGTTGTCCATGCAGGAATGCATTTACCACATCAAGATGGAAGAGTGGCCACTTTTTGTTAAAAGCAATGGTGAAGCGAGTACGAAGTGTCACCATTTTGGCAACAAGACTGAATGTTTCAGCATAATTAATTCCATATTCTTGGTTATAGCCTTGGGCGACTAAGAGTGCCTTATAACAGGCCGCAATCTCATCAGAATTCATTTTGGGACAATATGTCCAATGACATTCGAGTATCGGTTGATTTGGTGGGAGAGGGACCAAATGCCATTTTGCTTGGGCTTGAAGAGCGTGAAATTCCTTGGTCACGGCCTTCTGCCAATGGTGAAGTTTTACGGCTTGTTATAAGATGAAGGATCAACAGGGGGTTGAATTCAGTGGGACATGTTCAATTTTTGAATAGATTTCAGTTTCCCTGATTTGGCACGAGTTTGCATAGGATGTGAAGGAGCTGCGAGTGGTAGTGGAAGCGGGTTAGAGGAAAGCTGAGTGGGTAATTGGTGAATTGCTGGGTGAGATTGTGGAGGAAGCAGGTTCGGCTATGAGGTAGTGGAGGTTTGGGTAGTGGAGGCAGGTTGGAAGAAGTCTGGGTAGACAATTGTGGAATTCTGGGTCAGGTGGTGGAGGAAGTGAGTTTGGTCGGTAATGTAGCATGGGTTCGGGTATTGAGGGGAAGGAACCTAGAGAAATGCTTGGGTATGGTACAAGCAAAAGGTGATTGGGTTGAGGGGGGCGGTGCTATAGGTGGAGTGAGATTGTGTCTTTTAAACGAAAAAATGGGTTCATTAAAGACGACATGTTTTGATATGAAAACTTAAGTTGATTGAGGATCGTAACATTTATATCCTTTATGAGTTGAGGATTAGCCAAGAAATATACACGGTATGGATCGAGGTGTAAGTTTATGAGGTGAGAGATGTTTGAGCCATGGAAAGCATTGACACCCAAATACTTTGAGATGAGAATATGTTGGCGGCTTATGGTAAAGGCGTTCATATGTTGAGATGAAGTGGGCGGATTTGGATGGCATCCAGTTAATTAGGTTGATAGCCATTTGGAGAGCCTCGACCCAAAATTTTGGTGGAACCACTCCATCATGAAGAAGGGTTTCAAGAAGGCAGCGATGCTTACGCTCGACAACACTATTTTGTTCGGGCGTATAGGGACATTAAAATTGGTGTAAGATACCATCGTGAGAAAATAATTCATGAAGACCGGAATCAATATATTCACTTCCAACATCTGAGCGGAATAATTGGATGTGTTTTTGGATATGTCTCATGGAAAATGGTCAAGAGAATTTGAAAAATTCATCAATAAGCACAACATAGTAACGATAACCTTGATTAGATAAAATTGGGGTGGGACCCCATACATCAGAATGTATAAGTTGGAAAGGTAAATACAAATGTAAAGAAGTTGAAGGAAAAGATAATTTGTGACTCTTGTTGCAATTACAACTCTCACATATCTATGACATGGTAGGAATGGCAAGTGTGGTGTTAGCCTTGGAGACGCGACGAGTGACGTCCGAATGAGGGTGGCCGAGATGCTTGTGCCATAGAGTGGAAGCGGAGGCGGATGTGAGTAGAGCTTTAGGTAGCACTGTCGAACGGGGGGTTGGAGCCAACATAGGAATTGGGTACAGTCCTCTTGAACTGGTGCCCCGAAGAATCATCCAATTTGTTAGTGGTTCAGTGATATGGAAACCGGTAGAATTAAAAAAGATAGAGAGATAATTATTGGTTGTTAGTTTGTGGAAGGATAGGAGGTTATGGGTTAGAAAAAGGTGAATGCCAAATTTGAGAAAGAACAAGCTCTTGGTTCGGTGCTGGGAGAATGCCGTTGCGATAGTGTTGGATCGGGACAAGTTGGCCATTGCCCACTAGAACTTGTTCATCTCCGGTGGGCAATATTACTATTTGCAAGTTGTTAATGTCGCATGTGAGATGCATAGTGGCACCGAAATCTAGAACCCAAGAGGATGAAGAATCCTGAAGGGCTAGGTTAGAGGGTACGCTGTCAAGGTTCTGTCGGTGCCAACAAGTAGACGCGGAGTGGTCAATTTTATGGCATATTTGGCATGTGACAGATGATGAGAGCCTCCACTA